TTGCACAATTAAGGCTCTGCTAGTTATCAAGTGTTGCTAAGTCTGCAGGCAATTAAAGTGCATTCACCATTGGATCAATAGAGGCTTTATGAAACTGTAGATTAAATTTAATGAGCGCTTTCCTAGGCCCTTGCCCTGTATGTTACCAGTTGAGGAATTGCTCCATGGGAATTCCAGGGCATATGACTTCAGGTTTGATTCTAAAATAAATTGCTCTTAATTACTTTATGCTGCAAATATAATAGGCAGTAAATGTTTTTGCTGATACAGGTTGCCCAAACAGTTAAATCTAAAACAGAAACAACATAAATTGTTTCACTCTAACACCACTACATAAACTATTTTATGATACCCTGAAGTGTGGTAGGTATATTACCAACAGCGTGTTCCTATGGTTTAGAAAATAGGATTTCCAAAGCAGACCAATAAATTGGGGGTAGAGATGGAATCACATAATGGAAATTCTGAAAAATTTTAATTTGGAAGCATCAAAACAGTTTCTCTAGATAATGTGGACTATTTTTCCTGTGACCATGCCAAACCGGACTAGAAAATATGTGGTATAATCTCTAAGCACAAGAACACCTGCAATATTGAAATCCTTGGTAAGAAAGTTTAAGTTGAAACAGCACTTTGAGAACACACTTTCAAAACAAAATATTTTTACTTTATTGAAATACTTGCCTGTTGAAAAAAATATTGTAGTATTGTAGACTCCAGAAACTCCATCCAGCACCTTTCCAGCACTGTTCTGCCCGCTTCCCTACCAAATGTCATTTTTATTTTAAACCAAGTTTCAGAAAGAATATTGCCCTAAATTTTGCCAAGAACCCAAGATTTAGGAGTGACAAGCGTCACTTAAATTGTTCTTGCTGCAGAATCAGTCTGAAGCGTTGCTTGGTTGTGTGGCCGTCTTCAGACTGTTTCAGATGTTTCTGCACTCCTAGCAGTGAAGCAGTAATGGTAACAGCTTTGCAGCCTGCCTTTGAGGTGACACAGCCAGGCTGCACAACAGCCTTGGATCCTCTGCTGCAGTTGCCAACTGGAAAGGCTCTGACTTACTCTGCTGCACAGTGGAGGGGACTGATGGGCTGCCTGTCATCCTAAGAGCAGTTAGCTGATAGGGAGCGTCACCTTTGAGTTTTCCAAAGTAGCATGTGCGGAACTAAGCAGTAAGATCTAGATTCAACAGACCATTTAGACTTCTTACTTTCTAGTAAAGTCAATAGGAGTTAGGATCAAGTACTCTTACTAAACCTAACCTTAACAACCTATTAAAGCTGAGGGCTTGATGCATGCATCTAACAGAAGTCCATCCCTCTTAGGCACAGGATGAAGTTGGTACATTTAAACATATGCTTAAAGTGAAATCCGTTTACTGTCGCGGTAACAAGCGTGCATGCTAACCACCCTCCTATCCCTATAAATCAGTGGTGTGTTAATTTGTCACTGCAGTATATGAGCACGTTTATTAGCTGGAGCTAGCACTTCATTCATCGCTATTGCCTATCAGTAGTCAAAGCTTTTGAAGGTCCATGCACTGTAGCTCTGGGGCTGTTTATTCCAGGTTACTTTTCTGGAATATTTAACACATGTTGCAAATGCCAGTGCAGTAAGGTGGGAAGCTAGGAAGTAGTGTTAAACGAAAGTAATGGGAAAAATGAAATAAAGAAAAAGAAACATCCGCATCTGCGGCCTAGTAGAATGTTCTTTAGAAAAAACTTCAGAAAAAGCTATGGTGTCACTGAAATTGCAATTCATTGATTTATGCTAGTTTCTTTGTTGGAAGCATCATGGATGCCTAAGATAAAACAGGGGCTTAGGATCACAAATTTTGTCTGTCCACATGATTGCATTTGTGTTTCCTGAGGCCAAAAGATTAGGAGCTTGGTTTTAGGCAGCGACCTCAGTAGGCAGTAGCTGGGGACATGTATTCTGGAGGGGGAGTCATGTCCTCTGTGGGATGAACATCTCTGGAGTGGTCATCTCTGTTCACTGACTGTTATAGGAATGTATGCACTTAGTTTATACTAACCTCTAAGTTAGATATGGTCATCCTGGAGGCTGAGTGCTTTTACTGGAGGAGTGACTTCCTCTAGAGGATAGCACCTATCTGAATGTTTAGGGGGTAGACGTAAGGAAAAATAGCCTATGCTATTTTTTGGATTGGAATTTGCCATCCCCTCCACCATCCCAGATGGGAGTACCTATAATCTAGGAGGTGGATCAGGTTTTTCTCCCATGACAAGAGGAATCCCCCAATCACAGTTTGGCTTCTTACATGTACCGGCGCAGAAATCCTAGCGGCTACTAAGTGCACAGCAGAACGCTGCTGCTGCAAAGCTAAGGGTCTGAACTGAAGCTCCTGTCAGAAGCTTCCCTTAGGGGAAAAATGACCATGGCCATGAAAACGTCACTGGTTTCATGAAAAAATTCTCTTTTCTGTCTTTAGAATGGAAGTTGTTTTCTTGGTCCAAATTGACAGAAAAACTGTGTCAAACCTAGCTCTTTGAAATATTCTGTGGTTCAGTGTTTCCATGAACATTTGCACTACCTTCCAAATTTTGATTTAAAAAAAAAAAAGAATGGAATAAAAACAGACGTTTCAAAAGTCTTCAGTGCTGCTTTTTAACCAGCTATAAGACTGGGAGAGAGATTTCAAAATGTCAGTGGAAATTCTGCAAAATGTTTTAGCAGGCATATTTTCCTTCTTGTTTATTATTCATCTCAGATAAAATGGCTGTTTCCATCTATGCAAAGTTCTAGTTTTATAAAACCATAGATATTGCCCAGAATAATAGCTAAATTATAGCAGATGATGATGAAATAAAGATAAAACAAAGCAAAAGCAGAGTTCAGGTCACTTTGGGTGATTTTAATAGAATTTATTGTATGCGTGCGCTTTATCCTTGTCTGACTTGCTAAGGTTTACCTCAAAGCCTAGTTTGCAGGCAACTACAGCACAGTCAAAGCAGATGAAGATAGGATTTGCAGTTCCTGATTAAGAGTCCCAGTTTGACACCTAGTAGCTATTGGCTGAGCCCAGAAAATTCAGTTCATGTTTGTCTGGAATAGTTCAATGTTAGTTCTAAAGCAAACCAAAAGAAGGGGTTTAAACCAAGCACAAACTTCGGGGAGGGGGGGGGAGGTCAGTCTCTGATATCAAAAATGGACTGATTCCTGCAGACTTGCCTGGCAACACTGACTTTAACATGAGACATTATCTGAGTGAGAAATATAAGATCTGGCAATTCAAATCCTTCAAGTCTTCAGGACTGTTTCACTGCTGTGAGACGCAGAATACCAGCTGGCTGTATCAGGTGTGTCACAGAGACCTGGATGTGTTAGGGTAATGTAAATTGATATTTGCAGAAGAAAAATGTAAAAATGAGTGCTGTTAAAAAGCTAATTAAAAGGCATTTTAAATAGTCTTATTTTTTGCAAATTGAGTTTAGAGTATTCTTAATGGAAGTAGTGCATGTGTGAGCATGATTGCTGTCTGCATCTTTTGCCTCTAGATGTAGAAAATTGCTAAGATTTCATGGTAGTTCAGAAAGTCAGGGCCACATTTTCTAAAGTTAGCAAATTCCGTTCTGCAGATGATGGATGTGACTTTATGCTCTGTCTCTAAAGGAACAGCACCAAACACACAGCCCTGTCATCTTGAACTAGCTTGTATTTTGTTCTGGGGTCCCATTTCCATTCCCAGAGATGTTTTAGGTGAATTCTTCTCCTGTGTGGACTGCCTCTCTTTTGTTTCCAAGTCTGAAAGATCAGGTTGGCTTGATCCAAGTTCTCCAGTAACTCCTCCTACACCAAACGAGGATTTGGTAAATGCTCTTAACCTGATTGTTTATCTGTTATTCTTGACATCATGGTATGATGGGAGATCATCTGGCCTGTTGAATGACAGTGACTTAAGCAGTCACCCTATTTCCCAACACTACAGGTCAGTCTGCTCTTGAATGAATCCTTAATATGGCATTGTCATCTTGAGGTTTCAGTCGGATTTCTTAAAGGTTTGGCTCTTATATCAAGAACATTTCAAATGGGCTCAAGTCCGGACTAGCTGCCTGCCTGCTTATCTCAGAATATGATGATATTGTGGGGGAGTAGTGTAGAGAAGCTGGCATGCCTCAGGAAGCCAAGAGCGTATGTTTCAGATTAAATCTAAGGAATGAGAAAAAATGCATATTCAATTCTGATTGCTGTGTTGAGCTGGTTTGTGCAGCACTTGGGATTGCAAATCGTGATCAGAGAATTGCAAATGCCTTTTCAAACAGGGGAAGTTTCCCAGTTAGCAAAGAAGGGGATCTTCCAGAGGTAGTGGCTTTTGATGCAGAAAAAACTTACTATTGCTGTGTTCACGTGTATGTTCAAAACTCCCTGAAAAGCTCATGGCAGTGCTATCCTGACTCCCCACTGCTAAAAACCTGAGAAACGCAGGATGACCCATGGGGCCGTAGAGCCATATGGGCCCATAGAGCTCCTCCTTGAAGTTTTCCATTTGGAGTAAGCTTTAGTTCTGACATTACTTTTTCGTTTATATGAAGAGGGAAAATAGTTACGAAGAAAAGAGAATGAAACTGTAGTGAAACATCATGTTGCGAGTTTCTATGTTCTTTTTTTATGGGAAAACTTTTCCCAGTCTTTACTTTCTCCATATTCCTCAGAGTATTATAATTTTGCTCCAAAGTGTTTTCTGTAATTGTGAGGTTGGCCCGGAAATCAAGACACAACAAAGCCTACACCTCTAGGAAATGAACTAGATGTCTCAGCCCCTCATGCAATAGGTGAGGGAGGGGAGGGTGCCACCCTTATCTGTAGGAGGAGGGAGCCAAACTGTGTGTTCTGGCTGAAAAGTAAATGGAATATGGCAATGGCCCTTGGGCTGTGTGTGTATGTATGCCTACAGGTAGGATGTACTGCCTAGGTGCTCTGGAGAGGAGAGTTTCGGGTTAATGGTGTTCACACACAGTCTGTGGTTTTTTTTCTTCCAGTCAGATGGGACTATCCTGGCTATTGCCTTGCTGATCCTCTTCCTCCTGATGGCACTGGCTCTTCTCTGGTGGTTCTGGCCTCTTTGCTGCACAGTGGTAAGTCCTTCCCAACCCTGGTCTATCTGCACCGTTGCTAACTGCGTCGTGCCATTTCTCTGTGAATGAGCTGCCAGCAATTATGTATAGGATAGGGAAGTCAATTTGCTGACAGGCTGCAATGAATTCTAAACCCTGGAGATGGAAGAGCCTTCCAGCTCTGAGTGGTCTCTACCACACTTCATCAAGCATTTGTGTTGCTGTGACATGCAGAGTTCTTCCCTATTTTTCTTTTATTTTGATTAAAGTAAAATGCAGGACAGAAATCATCAGCACACAACAGCAATTCAGCATCCCCTGGGCGTGACGAGTGAATAGGAGGCAAAGTTTTTTAGTACGAAAGAGCGTGAGCGTGGTCGTTGAACAAGATGGTGTCTTGCACTGCTGACACTGTTTCATGCTGCTTAATCTCGCTGGCCTTTTGGATTACCCCCAGGAAACAGAAATATTGCTAGCACGCAGACCTTGTCAGGAGCCTTTCAGTCTTATTTCTCGGTCACAAAATGGAAATGGTTGGCTGAAACATGTTAGTTTCCATAAATTTTTAGAAAGGAATAGCTTTTCTGAGCTTTCTAATCCCTCTATCAGCATCCCGATGTTGCAGGACCCCTGTAAAGGGTAGGCATGCTGAACCCAAGCTAAAGTCCTTGTTCTGCCTTATGTACAAGGAGAAGATGTTTCTAAGTCTCCAAATGTTTGCAAAATTAAGCTACTTTTTTCAGGCTCAGCATGTCTAAAAAGCACTTTGGAATATCCAAATGGCAATTTTCCCTAGAAGTAGGACTGTTTTTCACCTTGAGCGATATCTTTTATCCATACTGTTTCACAAAAAGTTCTGCAGAGTTAAACACAATTACAGAGTTAGTAATTTTAAAAGGCAGGCAAAAATCAGGAGAAAACATTCAGAAAGAAGTGGTCAAGGAGACTATGCAGAAATCAGGGGACTTGAATTAAGAGATGAGCTTTGTTCTCACACTTGCTCAAGCTGTGTGACTGCAAAGATGTGCCATGCCCCTGTACATCTTTCCTGACCATCCCCTGGGGCTGCCTTTTCCTATGGGGATCAGGACAAGGACTGATTATTGCGGAATATATAATACAGCAAAGCTCTACTCTTGCTTTGGATCTTTTGTGCTGCAAATATAGAACAAGAATTAGAGATGTACAGATGTCAGCGGAATTGGAGACTGGTTTTGGTGTGAGGCTGTGTGTAATGTTTCAGATACTTCTTTTGAGACTGTCCAAACTGGCTGAGGTTCCTGGGTGACTGTCATTCCTCCTGGTTTTAAATCAGGTATAGTGTTCTAAGTTTACACCCTGTTGCACCAAACCTCTGTCTTGAGATGAAAACCAGAAGGGAAAAAATTTATTTGAACACTTCAGAACAATAAAAAATATCCGTTCTAAAAACGGATAAAGGATCAGCGGTGTGGTAGGTGGCCGAGAGTTATTCGTCTAAACTAGATGGCACATCCCCAGAGAAGTCTGGCCGTCGTCTTCACTGGTACAACTGCATGGAAGTCAATGGAGATACACCCTGTGCAGAGATTTATGCTAGGATTTGGTAGAGAACTGAGGTGGAACAGAGGAAAGGCCCTTAGGAGACACTGCCCTTTTAAGGTTCTGTTACAGGAGAGTGGTGAAGCTGGTGTGAAGAAGGCATAGACAAAAGAGGCAGGGTATGGAGTAAAGGAAGTATGGAGCTATGCTTCAAGAAAGGTGGTATGGGACTGCTCCACTGAAACAATACAAGGGTAATGGTCATACAATAGCATTGCTTCCAGTGTGAGAAATACAATCCAGATAAGCAAAGCGAGCGCAGCAGAGATGGAGTCTGCTATCCACACGAAACATTGTGAGCTTAATATTTTCCAGATTTAGGTTCTATGTTTAAAAAATTTGTTGCAGATAAAAGCTTTTCCTCACCCTCTCTTCTGCTTTACCTCCCACATTCCCTCTTACATAGCTCTCCAGCTGGGGACTAGCACACTGATATTTTCCAAATGTATGTTAAACACATCCCTTGACTTGCTGGAAAGATTTTTAATTCGGGAGTCTGTACTAAATCTCTTCATCTCTCAGGGATGACAGTCCAGTATGTCTGGAAATAGATCAGCAGCTATGCTATCTCATTGTGCATTGCTTACCCAAAGATTTTGTAAAATTAAAGGTAACTCCTGGAAGGGTACCCAGCCCCCTTGGTTTCGGGTGGGGAAACGGAGACCAGAGAAACACTGCTTATTTACTAGTTTGGTAATGGCATGTTAAGGAATGCAGTGTTGTCAGAAACAGCGAGTGAATTAAGGGCAGAGGAACTGGCTTGCACAACAGACGAGAAAAGCAGGCAAGCAATAACCTCTAATAATCAAACCGCAGACCCAGAGACACTGCTGTGGATCCAAGCCCAGGGACGTTTCAGAGATAATTGTGTATGTGTCCAGGGGGGAAAAAAAAAAAAAAAAAACCTTTTTTCTTACCAAGAATAAATTTGTTTCTGAGTGACAAGCACATTTCTAAACCCTGAAATTCCTCCTGGCGTGCTTTTTAATTAAATAGGAATCATTATTATCCAGCAGTTCTCCAGGAAAGACACCAAGCCAGCTTCATCCCAGGAGTAATGCACTGAAGTCAATAGACTTACCCCAGGGATTTGTCTGGAACCCAGTATCTCCTTGGCATGCACCCATCAAGAAATGCTGTTTCCAAGTGTATCCAAGTTTATTGGTCTCAGGAGTATTCTGGGATGAAGTCTGGAATTTACCACTCAGTTTACAGTAGATGCAATAGTTGCTTAGTGGATCAGAACAAGAATTAGGCCTTTGCTGTGCCTGATATCAGCACAGGCAAAATTTCCCGTGGCATCAGTGAAGAGATATAAAAGCATCGGAGCCAGGTGCTAACCTTTGAAGAGGTTTCACGGTTATTTATTCAACAACAACAGAAGAGAGAGAAAGAAATTCAGCTAAGCTGACATACCCAACAATGTGCTCATGAAAAGAACAATGGAAAATGTGAGAACATCTATAGCGGGACAACTGCACTTTCCCTGTGCAGAACATATTTGCAAAACAGCAGCTGCCAGATCCTTGCCCTGTTCGTATCAGTGCGCATTTTGCTATTGTCTCCCATCCTGTTCTCCCCTCTTCCCCCCCACTCTTTTTCTGAACATAAGTAAACCGAACAAGTGAAAGAGCTCCGAAGAGAACTGTGTGTGCAAGAGGCTCTCTATCTGCCCAAGGGTGAAATCCTCCTCTGGGTAGGAGGCCAACATAAGGCTCAGGTTTAATGTAGATGTAAGCCAAATAGATAGTAAGCCTTCAAAACAGCCTTAAAGAGGCTTGCAGGCGCACTGTTAAATAATTGACTTGAAAAGGGAGTTTGTTACAGTGTTTTGTATGTGTAGTGAGGCCCTAATTAATACAAAAGTTGGAAGGCCTGTTTATGCTAGGACAATTTCCTTGTGCCAACGCACTGCAGTGCACAGAGCAGGAGTCACCCATAGACACTGAAACTGGCAAACTGACGGAGTAAAACGAGTTGCGTTTGGGCCATGCTTTGCACCTGAACAGAGCCTGCATGAAAGATCAGCCCTGGCACAACTGAAGCAGTCGTTAGAGTCAACCAGTCCTGAGCCTCAGGCTGAATTTTAGCTGGGGCCAGGGGATAAAAACACAGAGAATGTGAGTGGAAACAATTCCCTGGTGCATCTGGGATTCTGAGTTGAAGCATTTCCTCACATACTCATATATCACAAGTCCTTACAGCTTTATGAGGTAAATATGAGTCTTTTGTCTCCCTTACGCATCCATGCTGTGTGGCCGAGGGGGCTTGAGAGGCTGGCCTATGGTAATTGCCCCTTCTGAATATATGCATCATCTTACCCATTTTTCTACTGCCGCTTCTTTAAATACAGGGGTGTGGCTGGCATATAAACGAGGTGTTGGTATTTAAGCATCTAGACGCCAGTTTTAGCTTTACGCCGCTTTCTGGAAGGAAGCGTGGAAGAACCCAGCAATTTGTTTGGCTCTTGGTCTGTACTGCAGCTGACCAAGAGTTTTGGAAACAAAAAGTTGGATGGAGAAAATACAGTAAATGTATATTAAAAACACATGAAAATCATAGCTAATCCGGAGGACGGGGAGGGGAGGAAATGCATCGATGCTACAGTAACCCTGAAGAGTCATAAAATTACGTGGTGCACATTGGCTTGATGGAGATTAGTAACGAGGGTCCACGTATTCTGACTCCCACCCGCTCTCCTGTGTGCCTGAGGCACAGTTTTTCCACAGTTCAGGTGATTTAGGGAGGAGGGAGTACAGGGTCATGAATCGTTCACAATATTAGTGAGGCAAGCAGAGAGAAAGAGACATGAATGTGGAGAGGGAGATTGCCTGTGGGCTCCACAGTCCCTTCCCCGGGTTAGGATCTGAACTATTGAGCCAAGCACTCACCTACTGTAACGCGGTACAGTTTCACTGAAGTTATTGGAGCTAACTTGGTGTGCAGCATCCAAGCTCTGCGTCAACACATACTGCGCTGAATAAGTGCCTTCATTTACACCACAGTCGATCCAGAATAGTTGGAGGCAGCACCATTACCGTAGATTCAAACTAGCGTAAATAACAACAGGACCTGACTTTGCTTCAAGAAGGAAGACATAGCCCTTCAGCTAGCTTCCTTGTTGTGGCTCCCATATTTCTGCTAAGGGAGGTATAGCAATTGCTGTGCACAAAGGGCAGTAGGAAGGTAAAGATAGTCTTATTAATCATCCAGAACGCTCACAGCAGTTCTCCACCCCTCTCAGCTATCCTGTCAGTCAAATCAGGATAGTTTAGATACGGATATAATGCCCTGTAACTGGCTGTCTTTAAACAAGTTAGCGTGGATCCTATGTTGACATGTGCTACTATCTGTATTAAATGTTGGTTTTGCGTGTCAGCTTCAAGTCTTAGGTCTGAAGCAGCCTTGTCTCTCCTTCTACTAGTTTTGTTAGAAATCGA